GTGGAGCTAGCCAGTGGCATGGTGGTTAAGGCGGCTGGATCCCACATGACTGACTATATGGTTCAAGTCTCAGACCTCGTGTCTTGAAAAACACACTGGGTACATGTGTGCCCAAAATCCCAAGAGGTGAATGAAGGACCATGAATTTGAAAAAAATTTTTGGAAACCAACATACACTTGTACTTTAATTCCATTTTTCCACAAACTTTTTGTAGTCCCCTCATACATGCACATTATTGTACAAATATTACCACTATCTCTCTCCAGAATTTTTTCACTTTCCCAAACTGAAACTCTATAGCCATTAAACACTAACTCCCCATTCACCATTTCCCCCAATCCCTGGCACCCAGTCTGGCATCCAGTGACCTTAACCAACTATGCCATCTGCTGGCACTTGCCAGAGAGACAGAGAAAGACAGAGAAAGGAAGTGAGAGATTAACCCCAGGGGGGATGGCTATGCCTCAATCCCTTCTTGTCCAATCTCCTCTCGGGATCTTGAGCTTGCACAGATACACCCCCGGGGTGAGTTTTAAGCTGCCATATCTGGGACTTAGACTATATTTGACTACGTGGGGGTCCAGCAATGTAACCATTACACACCATCAGCTGATCCTAATAGACTTTATATTTTAGAGCAATTTTAGGTTTTTGGCAAAATTTAGATGATTATTTTCATAGAATAAATACAAGAGAGGGGGCTGGCAGATGGTGTGGTGGTTAAAGGTGCTGGGTTCCCACCCACATGGCCAACCATGGTTTGAGTCCCAGACCTGGTGGCTTGCTCTCTCACTTTCCCTTTTTCTCTCTCTCTCTGTCTGTCTGATCAAATTAAAACAACAACAACAACAATAATAGTAACAAATGGAATTAAATAAATAAATAAATTTGGAAAAAACCCCTAGAGATTAATTAAAATAAGGGCTACCTGTGTGACGTGGTGGTTAGGTGTGGTGTGTTGGAAGCTGGATGGTAGAGTCTCAGCCTCAGCAGCTTGAAGAACACACTGAGTGCATGTGCACACATACCAAGAATCTTTTTTTTATTAATTAAATTTTTTTTCACTTCATTTTCTTTTATACATTCAATCACATTATTTGTCTTACAAAGTGGATATTTCAACAGGTGAACATTTCTCCCTAGTACAGTTGATAAAACTACTAAATATCTTCAACAGATAATACCACACCTCTTTGTGCCATTAATGCTTTCCCTCTTATCTTTTCCCCAAATGTCCTTCCTCAGACCCTCCTCTTTCACATACACTATATCTGGTATTTATATCTGTATACTGTTTCTATATCCTTTAGTCAATTAGTTTCAGTCATAGAGTGTGGACACTTGCTATATATTGAGTGGGGACATACAATGTCTCTCCTTCATAACCTGGCTTGCGTCACTAAGCAGTAAGTCTTCCATATCCATCCACTTCCCGTCAAAAGCCAGGG